GTCTTAGAAAGTTCCAAGCCAATTTCACTAAAATAAGTATTAAATGCTTCTGCTATATCAGATGGCTTCGTTATCTCTCTATCGTTAACTTTAATTAAATTAGGTGTAGAAGATTTACCTTTACTAAAAGGTACCAAATGTTTTTAGACTATTCCACATCTTTTTATTGTTACCATTATGCCGGGTAATAAAGTCCTTATAAAACAGGTTTTTGGTCTTCCGACATAATTGAAGTAACTTTGTTTTTTAATTGTTTTGCTATTTTCCAATTTTCAGGATCTGTTGACCGTTTGGCCCTGGTCCTTGCTCTGTCCCTTTTATGCATTAGATCTAAGATGTCGTCACGTTTATCGAGCCACGGTGGTAATTTAGAAGAAGGAAAACGGCGGGTGACCAATTTAGCATACTTTTCACACACCTTAAGAATGTCATAGAAAATTGTATATGCGTCATTAACGTTATCGGACTTTCTTATTTGGGACGACGCATAATATTTTATCATGTTGTCATATATTGTGTCCCATTTTACATGTTATTGTATATATGTAATGATATATTATATTTATATATGAATAAATAAAAAAGCAATGATAATACTAGTAATAATAACAATAACAACAACAACAATAGCAATAGCATTAGCAAAGAAATAACAATAACAATAACATTGATGATGATGATGATGATGATGATGATGATGATGATGATGATGATGATGAATATGAATATGATGATAATAATAATAACGATAATGTAAAATAACGAATATATCAACACACATTGTTGTTGACCCTCGGTCCGTTCCTGTGGCATTCAAAACGCAATCATTGTATACAATACTGACGATATTTTCTGTTTCATTATACCGCCCTGTCATAAATGCAATACTGGAAACGAAGTTTGGTTCAAGGTAGTTGACAAGACAAAGGCATGCGTGTAGGAAGCTGAGGAGGATACGAAGCCGAATGCGGTAAAGAAAACGTAGGCAAGAAGCAAGAAGCCAAAAGGTAGGAAAGAAGCAAGTTCTTCTAAATAGGTATTCAAAGCTGAAATTAAAATCTTCAATACCATGGCATTCATAGTTTTCTTTGTTGATGGTGATCTTTTCAGATAATGTGTGACTTTCTTATCCCTTAAAATATCCTTAAATAAAGTTGACACTGAAAGTTTTTCCTGCCCTTCATGCTATGTTTTGACCTGAAACATTGGTTACGATTTTCAGAAGAGAGATAGTGCTCATTATTTTGTTAAAAACGCAGAATCTATAACTAGTGATCATCCAGCAGGGGGGGGGGGGTTTACATGGCGCCAACTATGGGAAAACACACGGGCCACCGATTTCCACCAAAGTGTGCTAAGTATGCAGTTCCAGACCCACCGACGGAGCCCATGTTGACGATGTCGGGATGTGATATTTTATAGGACTATTTTTTGTTGTTAATGTAAATCTTGTGTATAACTTATTGTAAACTGGCTTGCGCTTTAACTTGTAACATGATCTTAAGGGTGATAAGGTCAGCGTCCCTCTTCTAGACCGCGCCGTCCCGCGCTTCAGAGTAGAGGATGCCGTGTTGGAGGTAACACAGGGGCAGGAGAACTCTCTAGTTTGGCCTAAAGACAAGTTTTCTAGTAACGGGAACTTGGAGACAAGCTGAGTGAGGCTTGGGAATATTTGATGTGTGTAGCAGTCTTTGATTATAGACTGGAGGCGGAAATCGCTACCTGTGTACAGAGTTGGATTCAGGGGTTTCTTCTCTTTCTGTATTCTGTTGATACCGATTGTCTGACTGAGAACCACAATAAAAGGAGAACTTGCAATTCCACGTCTTTGTCGCTCATTTCTTGTCGACACAACTAGTGAGGTGGACACCCATCCCATGACAGATTTCTGGTGGCAGCGGTGGGATCGCAGTCAAGATCAGCAGTGCAGTGTTAGCGTCAACTATTGTAGATCGTTCTATTGTGGATCGAAAACGAGTGAAGTGGATAGCAGATTACAAGTAAATCCCTGATTCCGGAGGTCTAGTAACTGAACTAGACACTTGGTGTAATTTTATTACAAATGACGACTGCTTTTCTTTCTTAGTTTTAAATTGTATATAGTGTAGTTTATTTATTTACGTGATCTTATTGGCATTGTATACTGCCCATACTTGTTTTCAATTACTGTATATATATTTTGAACCCATCAATAACATTCTTTCCAAACATGAATGAACAGGCAAACATTCAACCTTCTACCTCTCAAGGAGTTGGTGCTGCTGGTGGAGAGCCGTCTGCTGCTCAAATTTTACAAACCATAGCAACCGCTTTACAAGGACTGGGGCTCCAAAGGATTCATCCAGGGATGAGGTTGAACAAATTTAGAGATTCACCAAAGACATCCAGCGATCCTTCTTTAAAGGAATGGCTGATCGATTTCAAAACTTACTGTAACCAATACAAGCTCACCGAAGCCGAAAAAGCTACAACCTTTTTAGATCACCTGTCCGGTCCAGCGCGGGAAGAAATTATGTGCAGGAGTGTTGATGTACGGCGAAGTAGTGGGACTATGATCAATGTGCTGAAAGAAAGGTTTGGTCCTAACGAAACAAAGGCATCATTGGGTGAGGCACTGCACAACTGAACTCAGATGGACGGAGAGAGCTTGGCCGATTTCAGTAGAGCGTTAATGCATCTATACAGCAAGATGGAGCTGGCCGCAACTGGAGCACAGAAGATGGCCCTGGTGACTTTGAAGGATGGTACTCTAAAAGAGCGGTTTGTCCGTGGTGCCCGAGAATAGTGGGTACAACGGGAGTTAAGGAGAATCGAGATGGCTTGTGAGGAAAAATCATTTTTGGAAATGAGAGATGAAGCTTTATCCTATTTTCGAGATCATGACCCTGTAGCACGGAGGAGTGCCATAGTCAATGAAGTAGCTAGTCCAGTGGTTCACGATCTGCAACAAGAAGTTAAGAATTTAAAAGCAGAGCTTGAGAAGATGCAGCTATCCCGAGTGGAGGCAGCTAGGCCTGAGAGAAGATGTTTCCGATGCGGGGCGCGTGACCATTTGAAGTCAAGTTGCAAGCAGCCAGTTAAGTGTTTTAAGTGTTTTGGGACTGGTCATCTAAAAAGAAATTGCCCACAGTGGAGGGGTAGCAATTATTCGCCCAGGCCCCAACAGCCGAGTCAACAAAGCAGTAATCAACCATACTATGGTAATGATGCACCAGCAAGTGTAAGGAATGTTATTAGTAACGATGCTGAGTCTTCTTCGACCAAGTTGTTGGCAAGTAGCCCCACGGCGATGGTTGATATTGCAGGGGTACGGTTGAGCTGCATTCTTGACACCGGGGCTGAGACTTCTATTATCCCAGCTGACATATATTATGAGAAGCTACACAACAAACTTGGAGGTATGCGCCCAGAAAATACATTTTTATCTATGGTTGGGGCTAATGGTGAGCCAATTCCGATTGAAGGCTATGTGGAAGTCCCCTTACAGTATGGGAACCAAACCATCATGGCTAGCTTTCTAGTGGCGAGTGGGCAGAGCCCGAGACAGGTGGATCACCCAGTGTTGCTGGGGTGCAACAACCTCCGGGCTTTGGCAAGCCTTGAGATTCCAGAGATGGATCGATACGCATGGAGTTTTGCGCTTCGTCACCTCCCCCCCCCCCCCCCCCCGAGAACAAGAGGAGCGCAGCATAGAAACTGCAGCGGTTTCGGTTACCAGAGATGAGACAATTCAGCCACTAACAGTGCGAAGAATTACCTGTCGTGTAGGTACAACAATACAAGGCGATGTGTTGATTAGCCCGGCTCACAAAGATGTAGAGGTGGTGGAAGGTTGTCAAACCATCAAGAATAATGAAGTAGAGGTAATGGTAGTTAATGATGTCAACCATGAAATAGTACTCCGTCCAGACACATACATTGCTGAAGCAGTTGTTGTGGATAGCCGACAAGAAGTCTGTCTTCAGGTTGGGGATGGCAAGTTGCAGGTAGCAGTTAATGAAGTGGTAGTGGATCCTGGTAAAGTAAAGAAAGGGGACTTATCAGCCAAAGTTGAGACTAACCGAAGTGATTCAGCACTCCCTTTGGGACTGAAGTTAGACTATCTCTCCGATGAAGAACAGAGGTTAGTTATGGAAGTTGTAGATAGACATAGGGGTGCATTCTCGAATGGAACTTATGGTGTAGGTGAATGCAAGGTATTGCCTCACGATATTGTCCTGCGAGATGGGCCACCAATTCGCCTTCCGTATAGGCGCATCCACCCGAATATTATTCCAGAAGTACAGCGAAAGCTCCAGGAGATGCTGGACCAAGGCATAATTCGGCCATCGAAAAGCTCGTATGCTAGCCCAGGAGTGTTAGTACGCAAGAAGGACAATACTTTAAGACTCTGCATTGATTATAGGCAGTTAAATGGACGTACGATCAAGGATTCCTTTCCACTACCAAGGATAGAAGAGGCTTTGGAGGCGTTGGGGGGAGCATCCTATTTCTCCACACTTGACTTTGCCCATGGTTATTTCTAGGTGGTTATGGAAGAAGATGCAATCGCCAAGACGGCATTTAGAGTACCATGTGGGCTTTTCGAATTCACTAGGATGCCGCAAGGTTTAACCAATAGCCCTAGCACCTTCCAAAGGATAATGGTGATATGAATCTCAGCGAAGTTGTTTTATATCTTGATGACATTTTAATTTTTTCTAGCACCATAGGGGAACATCTCCACCGACTAGACAAAGTGCTGACCAGGCTAGAGATGAATGGCTTAAAAGTAAAAGGCAAGAAATGTGGTCTGCTGAAAAGGGAGGTAGAGTACTTAGGACACATTGTGTCAGAAGCAGGGGTGGCCGTGACACAAGAGAAAGTGGGGAAGATCCAAGATTGGCCTATTCCAACGTGTGCCGGTGAGGTGAGTTCATTTCTTGGGCTGGCATCTTACTATCGAAGGTTTATCTCCGGATTCTCACAAATTGCTGCGCCACTACATGCTTTAGTAGGGAAGTCGCGTGTAGCTAAGGGCAAGTCTACCACTCAAATGGGGAAGTTTTGCTGTGGTGAAGAGGAAGCTACTGCTTTTGGAAAGTTAAAGGATGTTTTATGTACAGCACCAGTTCTAGCGTATCCAAAATTTGACCGACCATTCATCCTGGAAGTGGATGCATCATTCCGAGGATTTGGCGCATGCTTAATGAAAGCTGATGACGAGGGTAAGGTACATCCAATAGCTTTTGCCAGTAGAGGGCTGAGGGGAGCTGAGCGTAATTATAATGACATTTCCAGTTTCAAAATAGAATTGCTAGCCTTGAAATGGGCAGTGACTGAAAAATTTAGCCAATACCTGACAGGTTGTAAATGCACTGTGTTCACCGATCACAATCCGCTCGTACATTTAAAGACGGCAAAGTTGGGTGCTACTGAACATCGTTGGGTTGCCCAGCTAGCAGCATACGATATTGATGTCAAGTATAAACCTGGCAAAGAAAATACTTGTGCCGATGCACTCAGCAGGTGTCCCGTCGAAGAAGAAACGAAAGATGTTCGCCAAGAGGTTTCAAACTCCATACTTAGGGTACAGGTGAACGTAGTACAAGTGGGCCCTGTTGAAGTTATTAAAAGTGAACCAGCTGTGTTTCCATCATATACACGTGCAGAATTAGCAAAACTACAACAGGATGATTCTGTGCTGGGTGAAGTTTGGAAGATGTGGGATAGTAAATGGGAGCATGGACATGAGTACAACGTCGAAATCGACGGTCTGAGTAGTTGGTATAAAATCGTAGAAGTCGAAAGTGTATTGTATAGAGAGGTCGAAGATAAAGTAATGATGACAGTACGACAATTATTGGTACCAAGGGCGTTGCGTAAGATGGTCTTAGATATGATTCACGATCAGTGGGGTCATCAAGGGGTTGGCCGAACCTATAATCTGTTTCGATCTAGATGCTTCTGGCCCGGAGCTAATCAAGACATAAAGCAGCACATTAAGAAGTGTTACCAGTGTGTGATGGCAAAGTCAATTACTCCTAGTATCCGACCACCTATGAGACATTTGTTAGCATTCCGTCCATTAGAATTGCTAGCAATTGACTTTCTTAAGCTAGATAGGGGCCGGGGTGGCTACGAAGACGTGCTGGTGATGACAGATTCCTACACCAAATTTGCATTAGCAGTACCTTGCAAGGACCGGTCAGCAGTGGTTGTAGCAGCTGCCTTGAGAGATCACTGGTTCGCACATTACGGGGTGCCAGACCGCATCCATTCGGATCAGGGTCGAAATTTTGACAGTTCATTGGTAAAAGAAGTCTGTAAGTTGTATGGCATAGATAGATGGCAAATCACGAACCTCCGGTTATCATCCTGCTGGTAATGGCCAGGTCGAGCGGTTTAACCGAACTCTCTGCACCTTGCTTAGAAGTATCCGATCATAGGAGAGGAAGAAGTGACCGGAGTTGCTAACTCACATTGTATTTATGTACAATAGTACACCCCATTCCGTTACAGGTGTAACACCTTATTTCTTGATGATGGGGAGACAGCCTAAAGTGCCGGTCGACCAGCTGTTGAATTCTAACCACGAGACTTGGAATGAGGACTTCTGTAAAGTGCAAGCCGAGCTAATACGGAGAGCCGACCGAGTAGTTTCTGATAGACTTAGAGAAGCTGCACGTAGGGAGGAGGACAGACATCCAGGCTCTAATTCTGAAGTATTCAGTGTCGACCAACATGTATTGCTGAAGAGAGCCGCATTCACCGGTCGCCATAAGTTGGAAGACAAGTTTGAGGTGACGGGTTATATCATAGTTGCTGTGAATAATGAAGGAGTCTTTCAAATTAGACCACATGATGGTGGTGAAGCGAAGTGGGTAAATAGGCGTAGGTTAGTGGCTGACCCAAGAGCACCGACTGGATGTGACCAAACTCCTGTTAATTCGTCGAGTAGCAGTAGTAGTGAAGGGGATTCCAGCGAAGCCGAAGATGAGTGTTGGGCAGCATTACGTCCAGTGAACTTACCTAAGTTGCGACGTT